CTACTTTCCATTTTTTATTGTCTCCACTTTCACTTTCACTCTCACTTTCACTCTCACTCTCACTTTCACTCTCACTCTCACTTTCACTGTCACTTTCACTCTCACTTTCGCTCTCCTTTTCGCTCTCATCTTTCTTCTCCATTTCACTGGCCTTCCTCTTTCGGCTAAACAATTTTTTGGCCGGATCGGCCGCCCCAACCGCCGCCGGATCAAACCTCTGGGCAAACATGACTGGTTTCTCCGAGATGAGGTTGATGCGATGGTGAAGCCAGGTGCGCGGGCGCACGTGACCGCGCCAACCCAAACCCACTAGGTTTTTCAGCGAAAATTTGGAGCCTCACTGTGTTCCCACAATCTCATGAGAGCTGCATTTCAACTTCTCAAGGGTCGGTCGGCGTGGAAGGGGCCTCACGTGGTTCCGTTGCCCATTGCAAACGCCATCAAAACCGGCACACCCATCCGAACAAACGCCAGAAGCTGCACCATCTTACCCCAGTTTGTGGGCTTGAAGTTCCAGGTGCACAACGGAAAAGAGTATGTGGAGTTGGAAGTGACGGACGAGATGGTGGGCTCGAAGTTGGGCGAGTTTGCGCCCACGCGGAAGAGATTCACCTACAAGTACTCGAAGAACTAGGGGACATGTGCCATGGGCTGGCCGTGGCGTTTCTTGTACATATGCAATACAGAAGTAATGAGAGGAAGTGTAGGCTCTAGACTGATCGTTTGTCAGAATCTTTAGCAGATCTATAGCGGATGTTAGCCAGCGTTAGGCGGGAGCTCCAGATCTGCAGCCGAAGCTTCGCCAAATCTGTAGCCAGCTCTTTCGCCAGATCTGTAGCCAGCTCTTTCGCCAGCTCAGTCGTGTCGTAGGTCAATCTACGCAGTTGGTTCGTCTCATCCATGGAGCAGTGCCTTCAGATGGATAACGGTAGCATGAGCACGATAACCAAACATGGATTTTTTTTTTTTTCCTTCTTGTAGCCGTCTTTGTCTTAGGCAAAAGATATGATGTTATTTACCCCCGGTCTCTGGGAGTATAGGCATTCAACCGCTCCTGGCGCAACAGCCCTGTGCGGTCCACCACCGGCCACAGCCCCCACCCTCCGAGCCGTATGACCATGCATGTTGAGTTGTCGTCACCGCCCACGTAATCCACGAACCGAACGACCTCTTCGGCACAAAATTGCGGCGTCGCCTTGTGCAGCCCGCGGAGATTGTAGTTCGCCATGACTATGTCGGCGATTTCCTGGTCTGTGATCTCGTTCGAAACACCATCGGTGCAGAGCACTAGAAAACTTTCGTCTCCGCCCTGTCCCCCAACAGTACACGATTTCACCTCTTCCGGAGAGAGAAGTTTCTTGATGGCGCTGGCATCGCCAATAATATACTGCGACACATCCGGCTCGGCCGTGACGCCCATCTGTTTGAAGCCGAGATCGCCAAAAGCACGAGTGTTAGCGAGCGAGACGAAGCGTTCTTCTCCAAACGAATCCGTCATGAAAAAGTTGGCGGCGTATTTTCTCAACCGACGCGCTTCCATTGGGTTCAGCGGGTGGTGTGGTGACGTAAGGGCATGGGCAAAGCCGTTGCGGTCAACTAGAATGGCCCGTGTGTCCCCCACATGTGCCACAGTCAACTTGGACACACTGTTGCGCTCAAAGTAGTTTCCTCCAGTGAGTGTGTGCAAGAACACAGCCAGACAAGTGGATCCCAGAGCATTGTCGTCCTCGTTGAAAAAGCGATAGTCTGTTTGCAAAAACGCCAAAGGGAGCCGCGACATCAAGTCGTCGGCACAGCTGAGATTGGCCAATTTTTGTACCTGAGGCGTGCTTTCTTGCATGCGTTTCAAGTTTTCATTGCGGTGCTTGTACCAGCGCTTCCAGTAGCCGCCGATGTTTTTAGCGTAGTTGCGAATCAATTCCTGTCGAGCCGTGTCGTCCTCCACTAGCAGCCCCGCTTCTTCAATGACTTTGGCCAAGTGATCACGCAAAAAAGTCAGACACTGCAGCCCGCCGTGGCCGTCATAGACGCCAAAGGCGAAAACAGGACTGTCTAGGTCCATAACCGCGGCTGAATAGCGGTCTTCGTTTGTTCGTCTGTTTCCGCGAGAAGAGTGGTGGCCAAGATGCGAGGGACTTTTCAATAGTGGAACCCGGAGGCGGAAATTCTTTTCGCCGATCGCCGTAAACGTGACGGAGTCGGATAGGTGCCGCACAAGGCGAGGTGACCGGGACATGGGATGTCTATGTGGCCGATACAATTGGAATGCGCCTGTGAAGTAGTTACGAGAGTCAGTATTCAGCACTCAGAGTCACTCAGTTGGTCAGTTACTCAGTCAGTTACTCAGTCACTCACTCAGTTAGTTAGTCGGTTAGTCAGTCAGTCGATCTGTCAATCTGTCAGTCAGTCGATCTGTCGGTCAGTCAGTCTATATCTATAGGTCGTCAGTCAATTAGTGAATCAGCCTATCAGAAGTTGTGGCTGTCACTGTGTCCGGCAGTCTATCTGGGAATCTATCTGCCCTAATCGGATAGCTTGGATCAACAATCCTTAGGCGTGGATGTGCTCGGGACTGTACCTCCGGGATAATAGTGAAGACTTATGCGTAGTCTATTTCTTTGGCGTCGTCTATGTTTGTCGAAGTCTATTCGTGCCTCTTGTAGTTGCAGCTCGCACGTGTCTTGGTAGCCCGCAATTGCCTTTCGTTGCGTCTCCAAGAATGAGACGTGGAGAAGACAGGAAAGTTGGGGAATCCTGGGAAAACCCGGAATGCGCATTTCGATAAGACATGAGGCACATGGAATGTTTGCAGAATTCATGATTTGGCAAAAGTGGAAAAGAACCAATTTTGGAGTAACTGTGGCACAAGATTTGCTGGTACTTTAGTCTTTTTAGTTCCTCTGGCTATTGTCTAAATATGTTCCGTGCGTTAGTTGATGGATCCTTCAAGCAAAACAGACTATCAAGGCAGTCTATGATAACCACATTCTTGACAATATTCACATTACGATAAATTGATTTATAAGATTGTCTGAACAGGTCTTCTAAATTGAATAGCAAGAGTGTCTGATAGGTCTATCTTTTTAGAGAAGAAACCATTCGGTAATCACTTAAGCTCTAGACATCTTAAGCGTAGACATTTGAGCTGATGGCGCAAGAAAGGGCTAGAACAATTGCTTTCCCACTCTATTGAAATTACAGAATGGGGGTCTGTCTCCACGACTGAAGACACCGAGGTCTCGGAACGGCCACACTTCCACGGTGAACTTATCTGACATGATTTGTTCAACTAGAGACTGACCTTACCCTCTCCTACCCTCTTCTACCCTCCTCTACCCTCCTCTACCCTCCTACCCTCTTCTACGTTAATCTCTCTCATAGACATTCATTCCTATACCTCTACAAAACAGCCTTGATCTTAGGCTCCAACTTGTCCTGCGACTGCAAGGCTTGCAAGTCGGAGTTGCCGCCAATGTGCTCGCCGCCAATGAAGATGTTTGGCACGGTTCTTTGGCCGGTGATCTCAAACAAAGCGTCCTGGATCTCGGCGCCGTCCTCCTCGTTGTCCAATTCCAAAATGTAAGCCTCCTTAGTAATGGAAGCGACAGTGTTCTTGGTCTTGGTGCAGTATGGGCAGTAAGACTTGGAAGCAATGAAAATAGGCTTGTTTTTGATCAAGGCCTGGACCTTTTCTTTTGTTTGAGCAGATGCCATGGTTGGAGTTGCGAAAAAGAAGCGTTTGAAGGCGTAGAACATGAACCCGAGCAATATATATAGTAGCATTTGATTGCGGGACCGGAGTGGCCGTGCGGCACTAAAGATTATTGGCGCCCGCACGCCCGCTGACAAATCCACTGTGGCATGGGGCAATGCAACCCAAGATGATGACGGCTTTACTTGAAGACGGCAAATTTGTGGTGGTGTATGGGGCGATGGAGGAGTTATTGATTTCCAGGCAATTTTTTTTCGTGGCACAATTTTAGAACAATTCGTTTTTTGATAAGACTGTCATTGACTGCGATAACTGTAGCAGGAGACAACCTATCCTGGCCAGCATGACTTGATATAATTGTGAGTTATGTATGAAGGAGACAGTACGAATCGGGAATCAAAGATGTGCTACTTTATGTGTGCTATAGCGATAGCAGATAGCATATCCAATCGTTCTAGTAGATACAGCTCATTCATAAATTAGTAGGGGCCGGTTTCGCATTTATAGTACTACGTTTGCATCTTCTTAAACTGTATTATTGACTTTCTAATTGTAATATATACATTAGTAACAGATTTGCATCATGAAGATGTTCTCGCTTCCTCGTACAATGAGTACTCCAACATCAAACTTCTATTCTTCTACTACTCAAAGACGCAGAGGAGGCTTGCCGTCAACCCAGTCGTGGAAAATGTTGTTTGGAATGATCTCCACCGAGTATCCATCGGGGTCTTTGATAAAGGCCAAGTTCTTCATGGCACCCTGGTTCCACTTCACAGCCCAGGTAACGGAGTCGCCAAACTCCGCCTCAATCTCCAGACAGAACTTTGCCGCGTCATCGCACGAAACACAAGTGTGGCCGTATCCTTGAATGGCGCCGTTTTCGGTCGAGTTTCCGTTGTGGTAACCTTCGAACGAGTCGTCGTTTTCCGTTCCCCAGTTGTGCGTGAGTTCAATAAGCGCTTGTCTCTTGAGCTGGTCGCCACGTTCTGCTTCGCCGGCCTTGAATGTGTCCTTGTGGTCGTAGCCAAGGAAGTACAAGGTGAACTTGGCGTTTTCGTGGTCGTGCTTGCTGAAAAGCTTCATGCCCAAAACTTTCTGGTAGAAGTTCAACGACTTTTGTGGGTCCTTGACACGGATCATCGTGTGGTTGAACTTGTACGTCTCGGTGTTGGTGGTGCCAGCTTGCTTTCCTTCACCGTGCTCGACAAGCTCGATCCAGTAGCCGTTGGGGTCCAAGCAGAACGCAATGTTGCTCTGTCTGCCGTCGCTCAACTTCTTCTGGAACTTGACCCCGTCGGCAAGCAACTTTTGCTCGCACTCTTGGATGTTGTCCACCGTGATACAAATGTGGCCAAAACCACGGAACTTCTCGCCATTGCCGTTGTTCAACTGGTAGTCGTGTTGGTGTTCGACACCGTGGTTGTGGCACAACTCCAAAATACCTTCTCTGTCGGCCCAGTTGACGTTCTTTGCCGTGGGGTATCCCAACATATACAATGTGAATCCGTCGAGCTCAAAGTGGTTGACGAGCTTCATGCCAAAGTATTTTTCGTAGAACGGAACCGTCACCTTTGGGTCCTTGATACGGACACAGGTGTGGTTCATGTGAAAGGAGTCATCTATGCAAGGCATTTTGTGTTGAAGAGAAAAAGGTGGGTCCGGAGGCCAATTTATGTTGCTCGGATGGTGTGCAGACAGCATGCCGTTATCCGCTTTAATAAGCAGGCCGGAGTTTTCTAGAAGTGAAAGACTCACCTTGAATGAGACAATTGATGCTCTACAGTATCAATCTAGAGTATCTATCTAGTTCATGCATCTAGCATATCCCTTCTCAATGTTTAGCAATCGAGCAATAATGTATCCAGCAATAATGTCTCCAGCAATATTGTATTCAGCAATATCTAGCCGTATCTGGCAATATGTAGCTTAGACATGTGTTCAGGCATTATGTGTTTGCTTTCTCACTTATGCAGCGACTCAATCTTGTCGATTTTCAAGCAATCCTAGTCTTGAATCTCTCTCAAAAGAATTTGCTATCTCGATGAGTCTTGGGTATGATTATGAAGTCTGCGCATCTCACCACTATTATGCGCTACTAATTCACAAGAGGCGAAAAACTGTAAAGTAGCTAACGCAAAAATGCAATCAAAAATCGAAAAACACCCAAACAAAAACGAAAAGCAAAAAACTGAAGTACCATCACTGCTCCCAAGTTCCTCTAGTACTAAATACACAGTAATCATCTTACTATCCCGTCCTAGCCTCACCTTGTCATCGGAAGAGCTCCGACACCCGTACATCCCACACCCATACTAGATGGGTGCAAAGCTTTACCTTTCCCAGTAATGTCCACAGCAGGCCGACTTGTGTTTTGCAAGCGATTTTCTTCTCTTTCGCGTTGCTGGTCGGCGTACAATGCTCCTAAAAGAACCACACTCACCGATCTTCGAAAGCTTTATGCGGAAAATACTCCCATTTCCGTAGCCACGGCTTGGGATGCCCTTACGGGCCGAATCACAGAAAAAAGCGGCATAGACATCACATTGGTGGGCGACTCTTTTGCCATGGTTTCGTCTGGCTTCGAGGACACGAACGAGCTCGAGCTCGAGGAGATGATTTTCCATGCCCGTGCTGTGACCCGAGGAAACAGCACGTCTTTCCTAGTGGCAGATATGCCGTTTGGCACGTTTGAACTTTCAGACTCCCAGGCAGTCGAGACTGCCATCAGGCTTGTCAAGGAAGCCAGGGTGCAGGCGGTCAAGATCGAAGGAGGAAAAGACATTACTCCCACCATCAGAAGAATAGTGGGTGCTGGAGTTCCTGTGATGGGCCATGTTGGCTTGACGCCGCAGAAACATAACACCTTTGGCGGCTACAAAGTGCAAGGAGGCAGTTTTGAGCGGGCAAAGGAGATCTTGGACGACTGCCGGGCCCTTGAGGAAGCAGGCGTTTTTTCCATCGTGTTGGAGTGTGTTCCCAACAAATTGGCCGAGTTGGCCACGGCCTCTGTCAATGTGCCCACCATTGGCATCGGCGCAGGTCCAAGTGTTTCAGGTCAAGTTTTGGTCTTGGCCGACATGCTAGGAATGAACGACAAAGCGCCTGCTAAGTTTGTCAAACAGTACATGAATTTCTTTGACCAGGCCACAGCTGCCGTGGCACAATACAAAACCGACGTCCAGGAAAGAGCGTTTCCTGACCCAAACGAACATGGCTACAAGATGAAATCAAGCGTCTTGCAGGAAATCAAAGCATATATGGAGAAATGAGCGGTGAGAGTACATGAGCATGCTGGCAATCTAACGATAACGATCTACTGATGACGACATTAAAACAGAACGGGGCCATTTGTACTGATATTCCTAATTTGCCGCCTTGAAAGTTTAGAGAGCAGTTGTTGAGTGGAGAAATGCAGTTGACACTCGACCTTTTCCTGAACTTGCTACAGGAATGCCTTGGTATGGTATCAGGATGTCGCTATTCCAACTTGATGCTAGTCACAGAGATGACTTCCGAAGGACGATTTATGTACGCATATGAGGGAAACTTTTCATCTTTTATTTTCCAACCTCATTTGATAATGAGCAAATTTTTTGCACCCACATTACTGGTGATTTTCTTTTCAATACCCTGCATTTCTGCTCTTTTCATCTATGCATTCGAATACTTTAACGAAACTCACTAATACATAGGTAAATCAGGACTTCACTTTAAGAAATACTAGCCTGTAAGTTCTCATGCGCAACTTCCCAATCTTTTGAAGTCGCAGTCGTCTTATCGGCTGATATAGTCTGTAGGTTAAATTCTAGTACAATACATAATAAACTAATGCCGTCGTGATTTGTGCCACCTGGTACGTGCAAATTGGAAGGATTGGTAAGCGGTCGGACATGTATAGAAATTTCCGACATGTCAAACGCTAAGACCCTGCGGATAAGCGTAGAAGCTTACGAGCGGATTTTAACTCCACCCGTCTTATTTCCATTCCAATCCATGGCACCCAGATATTAGTAATATACTCCTTTCCACATAAGGTCCTGCTTATATTGTCAAACGGCGGGATTAAGAAGACATGATTTGGTGATAATTGTGTCCTTTTCTGTGCAGAATGGACACATTCGGGCTTACAAATCAAACGTTCGTGCCACAGTGCTCGAAACCTCACCTGATTTCCACAGTACTTAAAGACAACCAAAGTGTAGCGTTTTTCTTCCGAACTAGTAGAAAATCACAAAGCAATGGTCGCAGTGAAAGCCTTAAAAAACACCGATGTCTTCAAGCCTATTAAGGTTGGGAAACACGAATTGAGCAACAGAATAGTGTATGCTCCCACCACCAGAAAAAGAGCGCTTCCTGACCACACACCTTCGGATCTCCAGTACAAGTACTATGATGACCGTACCAAGTTTCCCGGCTCCTTGGTGATCACAGAAGCCACCATTTTGTCGCCCAAAACCGGTCTCTACGAAAACGTTCCAGGAATCTATACTGAATCGCATGTGGCTGCGTGGAAGAAGATCACAGATAAGATTCACGCCAACAAATCGAGAGTGTCGATGCAGCTTTGGCCATTGGGCCGTGTGGCTGACCCGGTAGCGACAAAAGAGGCTGGGTATCCATTGATCGCTCCAACTGCTCTGTACGAAAGCGAAGAGTCCCGAAAAGCCGCAGAGGCCGCCGGAAACCCAGTCCACGAGCTTACTACGCTGGAGGTTGAAGATTTGGTGGATGACTTTGTGAATACTGCCAAAAATGCAGTTGCTGCTGGCGTCGACTATGTTGAAGTCCATGGTGCACATGGATATCTCGTGGATACGTTTTTCCAAGTCAGTGCTAACAGCAGAACTGACAAGTATGGAGGCTCGATCGAAAACAGATCAAGATTGGCTTTGGAAATCATTGACCGGTTGATCGAGGAGATTGGCGCCGACAGAGTGGCCATCCGTATTTCTCCATGGGTCAAGTTCCAAGGCATTCTTGCTGAGGAGGGCGAAGTCAGTCCAGTGGCGCAGTTTGGCCACTTTTTGGGCGAGCTTGAGAACAGGGCCAGGGCAGGAAAGAGAATCGCCTATGTGTCCATTGTGGAGCCTAGATTTGGAGGCGGCGGCGATATTTCACCGGAGAACATCTACGGCGACAACTCGTTTGCCAAGTCTGTGTGGAAGGGCATTCTTATTAAGGCAGGAAACTACACATACGATGCTCCCGAATTCAACACTCTCGTGGAGGATGTCTCTGACGGAAAAACCCTTGTTGCTTTCGCGAGATACTTCACTTCAAACCCAGACTTAGTCCAAAGGCTCCATGATGGAACTGACTTGACCCCTTACAACAGAGCCTTATTTTACAACAACAGTAACTGGGGCTACAACACTTTTAACAGTGCCGAAGAGGCTACGGTTTTCGATGAGGAGAAGGAACAAAAGAGGCTCCAGCAGA